TAGGGCAGTCCTACAGACTGCTGTTGAGATACCTACAACAGGCTCTGTCCTAAAGTGATCCTGAGGTAGTCAGCTCTCTTTCCATAAATGCCAGTATATCCTGGTACCCATCTAACAGCAACACTTTTATCTCCCCCCAGTTGGTTGACTGCTTCGGCACACTCCCAGGCCAGTAGTGATGTGAAGTGTGGCCCTTGGAGAGCTCTAATAGCAGCTTGGCTATCTGTTAGGATGAATATTTCCTTCTGTGTACACTGAAGGTCTTTGAGAAATGCCACACATAGGTGGATTGCAGATAACTCAGCTTGAGATACAGTTGCAAAACAACCTACTGGGTATTTGTACTCTCTGTCACTATGGTTGTGCAAAATCAGCACCTTGCTCCCATTGTCCTTTTAGTTTGAAGAAGATGGAGGAGACTACTGTCCTGTGAATGGAGAGAACAGGTGGAAGAAATTTTGCACTCAAACTTTGACTTTGTTTGGCATTTATTCAGAGCTCAGAATACAAACCGTAACATATTTAAATGGAGGCGTGTCAGGGGAGGCGTGTCAGGGGAGGCGTCTCACGTGTGCTAAGTTCCACGATCATTGGGATGTATGAAGGAAAGGTGCGCAGGAACCTGCGCATGCATGGTTTTATACATCTGAATATTTTGGTGCGGCGCACATTTCTAAATTTGTCGGTACGTCACCTTTTAGTGTGAAAGCTGCACAATCCTTTATGCATGAGGCCTCAGGTACGGATTACTTTGCTGTACCAAACAACATGAAATTTGGCAGGACTGTAGATGAGTCTGACCTACACTGCGCCAGCCAATGGTTTTACGATAGACCCCATATTTGAGGAGGGGGCTCCTTTCAAAGAGGGGGTGTCTAGATACTGTACATCAGTTCAACCAATGCCCCCCCCCCCACACACACACACACACAAACCACTACAACTTTGGGTACGCACAACATTTATTAGGAATAAAGACTTCTGAGTTCTGGTGCATTTGTGCGTGTGGGGGTCATGTTACCACTGTGCGGTATCTAGTTTATGTAAATGTATGTATGGGTGTATGTATGTATATATA